CAAAAACCATGCCTGACACTTACTAGATAAGTGCGGAATTATAAATGTAACAGTGTAACGTTTTTATAAGTATTCTGAAATGTTCACAACCGCTAAAATGAATATATTACTGAACCGCAACCAATATTTCTAGTAAATACTATCATAACATACAATAGTACATAAAAGCAACCAATGAACACAAAATATAACCCCCCCCCCCCCCCCCCCCCCCCCCCCCCCCCAAAAAAAAAAACCCACACACAACAACTGACAAATGACTTCCTTATTAAAGTGAAAAAAAAAAGTTAAAAGACTTCGCAAACATCCGCTGCATCAGGTACACAGTAAGTGAAGGCCCCCTTTTCCCATGCTCTTAGCGACATAAACTTTATGTTTTTCCTACCATTTTCTATCTGTTCTCTTCGCTATCTTTTGCAATCATTTTTGGATCTATTTTTTCTGTAGACATGATCTTATGTGTATTGGCTATTAAGTGCTTGACCTATTTGTATAGACCAATCTGCACTCGATGGGTGATGTAATCAACAATATGCGAGCCACCTTTACTTCCCAAGAGATTAGCTGATCCACTTAGGCTGGGTCGATTCTAAGAGCCAAGGTCAATTTTGAAGAAAAAATCGACTTCAATGTGGATCTAGGGCTAGATATTCGAGCAAGTGTCTACTTTCATTCCCCAAGTCTTTTTCTTTTTTTTTTTTTTTCACTTTCTTTATTCGGGAAAAAGGGGGAGCGGGGGTTGGTGATATTTCACTTTTATTTTTAATCCTGTGCCGTTAGTGACATCAACTGCTTTCTACTTGACCCAGTCATGATATTAAGAGTTAAACACTTTCTTCAGTTACTTCATCAAAGCGTTGGGCGGGATGTAAGGATCTTACATATGCACTTTTTAATGTGTTATATAAGCTTGCTTTAATTTTTCTTTCATATGGCTTTCTTGACGCCATCACTTTATCTCCTGCAAAGTCTTTACCTTGCTCTGTGTTCACTGAATTTCTGTGTATAGCTCTCTCTCTCTCTCTCTCTCTCTCTCTCTCTCTCTCTCTCTCTCTCTCTCTGTCTCTCTCTCTCTCTCTCTGTCTGTCTGTCTGTCTGTCTGTCTCTCTCTCTCTCTCTCTCTCTGTCTGTCTGTCTGTCTGTCTGTCTGTCTGTCTGTCTGTCTGTCTCTCTCTCTCTCTCTCTCTCTCTCTCTGTCTTTCTCTCGCGCGCTCTCTCTCTAGCAGCTGGTACCAGGGCATTCTCGCCAGGTGGCGAAAACCACCTCAACTGCTGCTCTCTAATAAATGTGGGACTGGTTAAGTTCTAGTCCTCTTCTCATTTGTGATGTTCTCTTCTTGTTATTTCAGCAGCTCTTCTAAGACATCACATCTATTTTCCAAATTCTTTTTTAAAAAAAACCGCAGAAAGTAAGTCTGACACCAGCCTTGCTCAGGTAGCTATGATGTAAACACACTGGATTCAGGGGAGTACCAACCAATAACAAGATTATGCTTTGAATAATACAGTTTTACATACAAATTAGTTAGGGAGCTGCCGGGATGTAGAGGTTAGACGGTCGCCTGCGGATCAGAAGGTAGTGGGTTTGAGGCCTGATGAAGCTGGATTTTTTTTTCAAAAATAACTTTGGCTTCCAGGTAAAAAGACCCTCCCTTGAATGTGTGGAACCAGGTACACTCGTAGAAAACAAAGACGGCCAGCGTGATGCTAACCACATCGCCCACCACGTGCTGATTGGTCTATATATTATAGGTCTAACCCTATATGCCCAATACACTTATAGGCATGGAAAAGAGTTTTTTACATAAAAATGATGTAATACTTTCTTACACAAATATGAGGTAAAACTGTATTACATAAAAATGAGGTAATACTTTCTTACACAAATATGAGGTAAAACTGTATTACATAAAAATGAGGTAATACTTTCTTACACAAATATGAGGTAAAACTGTATTACATAAAAATGAGGTAATACTTTCTTACACAAATATGAGGTAAAACTGTATTACATAAAAATGAGAGTTTATGTTTTCTCACACAAAACTGCCTTGTATGTTTTTGTTATTGTCCATACAGAAATTAAATCACACCCCCCCCCCCTTTTTTACCCCTCAGTGGGTACCAGGAGCATTTCTGTTAGGTAAAAATCAGCCACTGTAATATTAACCACAACATCATCAAGTGCCAGTTGACTGGGGCGGGATTCACCTTATACACCCAAGGGTATGGAAAGGCATCCTTAACCCTTTTCTTACACTTAAAATATACATTAGTGAAATGTATAAATTTGAAAATGCACAGTAGTCAAATGTATATAATCAAAAATATACAATAGTAAAATGTATACATTCAAAAAAGAGCAAACAACTAGAAGCCTAGTCGTTCAGAAGAAACTCCCAACAAATACAACAACAAAACCAACAGTGTGGACATTCAATCAAAACAATGATTCGGAAAAAAAAAGTACCATTCCCCCCCCACCCCCCACTTCCCGGCTCAATACCATCAAAGAAATGTAATATCTATCCGCAATGCTACCACTGCTTGCAAGTTAACAATTTTAAATGCAAATTTGTGTTTTCTTTGTTCATGTTTTGAAGAGACTAAGATACAAAGACTCATCAACAATATCAGAAGGAGGCAGTTATACCTTTGTATCACATTATTAGAACAGAGTGAATAAACGTTACTAACAACACACCAAGAGACAGGGTTACGAATAATACCATTAAAGAGAAAGTTGAAAGAAGACCATATCTGGATTATAAATGACAGACAAGGAATGAAATGGTTCAGCCATTTAGTGAGAATGCAGTCAGACTAAACTGCATATGAGACGTTCTACAACAGAACATCTGTGAGAAAGGCAAGAGGAAGACCAAAAAAGATGTGGATAAATCGTGTAGCTAAACCCCGCCAAAAACAAAAACAAAAAAAGATGAACAAATCCATCACCTAAGCCACCCGATTAGTGCCAAACAAAAACAGAAAACCACGACCCTGTGCTACAACTTGAGTGAGATTTAAAAAAAATAAACGAACAAACTAACTCTATTTTCAAAGGATTACAAATTGCTCATGCAGTTCCCAGCATTCTGCCCTTCTGGTGTCACTGCTGCCATAAAAAATTTGCATCACACATCTTTTAACAAGTAATAATAAACATCCACAACAACAAAGTATTCAGTACAAGTGGTGGAATGATCTCAAATTATGCGAAAATTTTTAATTGAAAAATAATAATTCTTGCACAAAAATTGGAATAGATTTATGGGAAATATACCATAAACTTAACACTGTGCATATATTATCTTTAAAAGAGTTAGAAATGGCTTGACTCAGAGATAGAAGAGAGTTAGAACTGGCTTGACTCAGAGATAGAAGAGAGTTAGAACTGGCTTGACTCAGAGATAGAAGAGAGTTAGAACTGGCTTGACTCAGAGATGGAAAAGAGATAGAACTGGCTTGACTCAGAGATGGAAAAGAGATAGAACTGGCGTGATGCAGAGATAAAAGAAGAAAGTTAGAACTGGCTTGACTCAGAGATAGAAGAGAGTTAGAACTGGCTTGACTCAGAGATAGAAGAGAGTTAGAACTGGCTTGACGCAGAGATAAAGAGAGTTAGAACTGGCTTGATGCAGAGATAGAAGAGAGTTAGAACTGGCTTGACTCAGAGATAGAAGAGAGTTAGAACTGGCTTGACTCAGAGATAGAAGAGAGTTAGAACTGGCTTGACTCAGAGATAGAAGAGAGTTAGAACTGGCTTGACTCAGAGATAGAAGAGAGTTAGAACTGGCTTGACAGATCTTTATCATGGCATGGAACAGTGTTGCCAGAATTTGAACTACTACATGTAGTTGGAGATTACAAGATTTGAAGAAACATGATTGCCCACACCAGCTGGAAAGACATTTTATAATGACTCAGCAGTAGAATGTACAAACTGTAATATATCAGATTGCAATGTATCTGAAACATTCAGTCACTGAAGACAATGCGATCAGAGGATGTTCCAGGAGAATGAAATAGTGTATTCTGTGACTTATACAAAAGTTTGTCTTTAATAAAAACAGGTAATTCTAATTCACTGACTCTGATCTCACGACCAGGGGCTGATCCTACAGCTGTTGACACAGCCATCAAAGAGAGATTTTCTAAACTCATTGGCTGTGTGGGTATCGCATCCAAGACATCGAGACATTTTTGGTAATCTCTTACTTTCAAGATATTGTCTCAGCAACCTGTCATGACCCAATGAAGAGATATCGGACTGGGTGAGGAACAGAGTATTTACAAAAAAATTAGCTAGTGAACTGTTTCCGATACACAGAGCTGTACACAGGGGTGAAAACAACCTTTCTCCGTTCGTTACAGAATCAGAGAGTATTATCTCCTAAAACTTCAACAGGCCCAAATCCACACCTCATAAGTTTTAAAACAATATCAATTTCATTATAAGATATCAATTTGTGCAGTATATTTGCAGCCAAATATGACAAACTGGCCCCTCTATCCAGCAGATATTCTAAGCAGCTGAAATATTTTTGTCCTCTGTACTGAAGATGTGACAGTGCTGTTTCTGTGCTATTTGTTTTGCTAACAGCATTAATTTCTGCTCCTGAATCAAGGAGCACACGCATCGTTCTTTTTAAGTGCCCATGAGCAGCCAACATTAGAGGTGAAAGGCCGTTATTATTCTGCCAGTTAACGTCACATCCGGCCTGGACCAAAAGTCTGATAATTTTATTATTATGTTTACGTGATGTGCGCAGTAAATTTAATAAAGCATGATTACCATTTCTATCTTTGATATTTACATCTGCACCATGGTCTATCAACTCTTTAATTATAGTTAATTTCTTGGCTGTCACTGCAAACATGAGGGCTGTGAAACTATCATCATTCTGTACGTTTAAAAATTCCTTCCTATCTCTGATAACCCGAAATAGAAATGATAAATTCTTAGAACAACCTGCTCTAACTGCATGAATAAAAGCTGTATTACCTTTTTTATCCATATCATCAAGTTTAGCTCCATGATCCAAGAGAAGCTGCAGCACACTCATACTTTCTTCTTTTTTAGCTGCCAGCATAAGTGGAGTTTCCCCATACTCATTTGTATCATTTACAGAAGTACCATTTTCTAGCAGGATTTGAACAATTTCTCTCACAGAATTATCTCTTTGTCCCTCTTGGTTAAAACACGCATCAGAGGCGTATAGCCTGTTATACTGCGCAGTAAATGTAATAACGCATTATTACCATTTCTATCTTTGACATTTACATCTGCACCTTGGTCTATCAACTCTCTAATAATAGTTGGACTCCTGGCTTCTACTGCAAGCATGAGAGCTGTTATAACATCATCATTTTGTACATTTAAAAACCTATCTCTGATAACCTGATGTAGAAATGATACATTCTCAGAACTACCTGATCCAAGGGCATATATAAGAACTGTATTACCGTCCTCATCCACCTTCCCAAGTTCAGCTCCATGATTCAAGAGAAGCTGAAGCACACTCGTATTTTCTTCTTTCACAGCGGCCCACATAAGTGGAGTTTCCCCACGTTCATTAGTATCATTGACAGAAGCACCATTTTCTAGCAGGACTTGAACTATTTCTCTCACAGAATTATCGCTAGTGTCTCTCTTGGTTAAAACACTATTCACAGGCGTATAGCCTGTTATACTGCGCAGTAAATGTAACAAAGCATTATTACCATTACTGTCTTCGATATTTACATCTGCACCTTGCTCTATCAACTCTTTAACAATAGCTGGACTGCTGGCTTCTACTGCAAACATGAGAGCTGTTATACCATCCTCATTTTCTTCATTTAACGATCTATAACAGTTTCTGACAACCTTAAGTAGAAATGATAAATTCTCAAAACAGCCTGCTCTAATTGCATGTATAAGAGCAGTATTACCTTTCTTATCTTTACCACCAAGTTCAGCTCCATGATCCAAGAGAAGCTGCAGCACACTCATATTGTTTTCTTTCTTAGCGGCAAACATAAGTGGAGTTTCTCCATGTTTACTTGTATCATTTACAGAAGCACCATTTTCTAGCAGGACTTGAACAATTTCTCTCACAGAATTATCGCTAGTGTCCCTATTTTTTAAAACAATCATCAGAGGCGTAAAGCCTTTCATAATGAATGGTGGATAATTATCTATTACATGATTTACATCAGCACCTCTGTCAATTAGAAATTTGGCAACTTCTCCATTTCTGGATTCAGCTAAAGGACACGTGCCTTTCCAAGGATAACCTCCAACCTGAGGCTTAAAATAAAAAATCAGACCAGTAATTTCTAAATTTCCATTTCTGACTGACTTCAACAAACTACTTTTCACAACATCGCTTTTAAAATCACAATAACTTCTGAACATGTAATAATTGTTAATGAGAAACCTCACATACGCTAGCTCTTGCTGGTCAGCTGCGAAATCAAGTGCTTGGTAAAAATCAATGACTGCTCCATGCTGGATGAGGAGGCTGGCACAATGTGTATGACCGTGGCTTAAGGCAATGTGAAGTGGGGAATTCTGAAAACCATACCTGTTTACATCTGGTTTAAATGACAGCAGTAGCTCAAGAACATTATAGCAGCCAATTTTTGCAGCAACGTGTACTGGGGTTGTACTTCCTTCAAACGTGAACTCTTTTTGATGGGGATTTCGTTACAAATACAGTTTGACCAATCCAAGATGTGTTTACGTCTGCTCCATGTTCCAGCAGAGCCTTGACCATTGCAATCTTATTTTCACTGAAATCTATGTCTGTGTTACAACATGTTCGGAAGATATGTTTCAACATAAAATTAAGATATTTTTTGTTATGGGCTGCATAATTAAATGCACACTCTAAGAAAATGAGAAATGATTTGGTATCATCTGCTCTAATTGCAAGCTCTAAAGGTGAAATTCTGGTGTCTACATATACTTGCAGTAACTGAAATACGTTTCCAATTTCACATCTTTTAGCAATTTGAATAACATTTTCTCCTCTACAGTTTACTGTATCCTCTAGTGTTGTCCATTTGGCGACACCATCAGAGTCAGCGTCTAAAGTGCGTTTGTGTGTTTTATGTTCAGCAGCATGTTCATAAAAAGATGCTGAAGTTTCCGTACTTTCAGCATTAAAGTGTTTATCCAGCAATATTCTAAGTGCATCAATATTCTTAACCTCAGCAGCTTTCATAATGGCTGTGTATCCATCTTTGTTTTGATGGTGAATGTTTATTCCTGGCTGTTTTAGTAGATTCCGTATCACTTCTCTTGATCGTGATAAACCAATGGAGAGAATCAAAGCTGAATCGCCCACAGAATTAATGGCATTGACGTCTGCCTTGTTTGTGAAGAGAAACTCGACTATGTGATTGAAACCGTTCTGTAGAGAAATCATCAGTGGTGTGTTTCCATCTGTGTCTTTGAAACTGACATCTGCTCCACGTTCAGTCAGCATCTGGACCAACAATTTATGTCCCTGCTGACAAGCTGCCATAAGAGATTTGTTTAGTTCATCTTCAGAGATGTGATTATCTCCCTTCAGTAATTCCAGGGCAGGCTCGTGAGCACCTCGTTCAATCAGATCAAATAAATTACTGTCTCCATGAGCATCCAATATTTCCATTATTGTGTAAAAGCTTTGTCTTCAATTAATTTTTGCCAGACTGATGATGGTGTTACAATCTTTCACACTTTCTGGGTTCCTGAGCAACACAGTGAAAGTAATTGCAAATGATTATTTATCAATGTACAAAATATATTGCAATACTGCTTTAATAAATATAAACAAATGTAATAATTATTACAAAGTGCCTTGCTGATTCACATTTACATTTTTGCTTTTACATATATTGCTAATGCCAACAACGTGTAACAGTTCATGTGATGACACTTTTCCATTCGATGTCAAATGGCTGTCATATCTCTCTCTATCTCTCTCTCTCTCTCTCTCTCTCTCTCTCTCTCTCTCTCTCTCTCTCTCTCTCTCTCTCTCTATGCATGCATGTGTAGGTGTGTATGTATGGAATGTGTGTGTGCACATATGTCTATTTATGTATGTGTGTATGTTTTATGTTTGTGCATGTATTTCTAAGAATGTATGTGTGTGTTTTATGTTTGTGTATGTATGTAGATGCGTGTATGTATGTGTGTGTGTTTTATGTTTATGTATATATGTAGATGCGTGTATGTATGTATTACATATGTCTGTATATGAGTGTGCATGTATGAGAATGTAAGAGTATGTATACGTGTGTGTGTGTGTGTGTGTGTGTGTGTGTTTGAGTGTGTGAGATTGTATACACATGATGTGTGTATGCATTATTCCATAATGTATATTTCTTTATTACATCCATAACACGCATTATTGATAACAGGCATTGGTACTCTGAAAAATGAGTGCTTAGAAGGGCCGAATGTCAGACGGGCCTGGGTGCCCAATTTGTAACCCTTTAAAAATAAAGTTTGTTTGTTCGTTCATTCGTTCGTTTTTCTCTCCCCCCCCTCCCACCCCCAATACAATACCTAATAACATTTTTGCTACAATGTTTAATCTATGACCCTACTTGAAAAAGTACTTCTCTACAACTTTCTGAGAATTTACCAGCTGTCACTGACTTCGTTTTCCTTACTCCGTTTGTTGCATTCAATTGAACTAGTCTACCTTCATTTTGTATCGATTAAAAAAAAATCCATTTTATGCAAACCCGTTTGTAAATTGACGATCCAAATGGCTACTTAAACCGGTTTCCTTCTAAGCTCTAATATGACACTGCACATATCAAAACACATATAAACGTTTATCACAAACATGTATGAGGGTTAGAAGAACGACCATTCACAGTTAAAGATCAAAAGATCGGACCCCAATAAGTAAATAATAACAACAATATTTATAATAATTTAGTTATTTATTAAAACTTAAATATTAACGAATGCGAGTTTTTCATTTTATATTATTTACTAATAACATTATTACTTCATAAAAATCATTTCATAACTATAAACTAACACATTGTTAAACTAACATAACAGCAAATGCTTTCTAAAAAGCATAGCGATAAAAATATTGTTATATGTATGATTTACCATGTAAAATGATAAATTATGTTTCTGTTTTTTTGCAGCTTACTAGCTATTTATAAAAGGTGGATACTTACTCATTATTTGGTGTACATTTTACAACTAGACGGGGGCGTGGCAACTTTGTTATTTATTGGAGATTCCCGAAGCTGTCACATGTTTCCTGTTCTTAGAATCGAGGAGACCATTTAAGTGGCACAAAATTTTTGTTTCATTTTAAAAGGACTTGGACTTGGACTTTGTTTCATTTTTAAACCAAAATATAAATTATATTCTATATATATATATATATATATATATATATATATATATATATATATATATATATATATATATATATATACAGCGTACACGATTTATTTAATCTACGTTTCAAAACTACAAAGTAATACGAAACTAACCGTTGCTTCTTTCGTTTTCAGCTGTCTGATGTAGCAAAATGTCATGATGCTCAAATTAACACAGATCCAGATTGAGCACTTAAAACAAGAAACAATAGTTAGTAATCAATACATCTCACAAAGCAGTCAGGCTAGAGAGGAACCAACGAACTTAATTTTAGAGTTGAGTCAAGAACTAACATCGCAGCACTCGGGGCATTCCCATGCATGCTCCGTCCTCATCTTCAACAGCCAGTTCAGAGTTCCAATACTAATGGTACCGGTCGTGATCTGGTTGTATGACCGTCTTTCCTTTTCTCCTAGTGTAGTGAACTGGCCAAACCCTCTGCTTACCCCCAGAGAAAAATATTAAGTATCGGCGGTCAATAAAAGTAACGTGCATTTGGCAGTCAATGAAAGAGGAGCGCACATCCCCAACTGCATGGGAGAATAATTGAACAACATAAAGAAATTGAAAGAGACATGTTAAATTAAATGCAAAATACCCAGACTAAAAAGAGGATGGGGGGGGGGGGGGGGGGGGGGGCCTTTCTGTAGAATATGCACAAAATAATATTAAATTTAGAGCACGGGCAAACTTTGACGTTTTCCTACAGTAAAATAATTGTATAAGTCCTTGGAGTAGCAGTTGTAAAGCACTAAATGTTCTGCCTGCCCACCAGAAGTTCTTGAGTTCGAATCCCATCGAGTCGCGTGTTTTAAACAGTGTTGAACAAATTCGACTTGAGACCACTTTGACTTATGACCTGCTAGTCGGTCGTAAGTCGAGGAGACCCTTATAATATGACCAGGATCTACGTTAGATTTAAAGTTTATCATGAACATGACCAAAAAACTCAAAGGACAATGCGGTATCACTCGAAAATGGAAGGAGGATTACAGCAGAGGAAGGAAAGTTGGGAAGAACTCTTGCAGGAGTTACTCAACTGTTCGGACTCACACGCACTTGGTAATATACCCGAGGCTGAGGAGGGTCTTCTGATTAACTTAGAAGTTTCCGAAGCTTCTTCTTCGGCGATCTCAGCTCATGCGTTTAATGCACTGTGAGCAGTAAACTGTTATGTCATTTCAAGGTTTCTTAGGTTTCCCCAAAGCTTAACTGTCAGATCTGCTTGGTTTAACCATATGCTGCTTCGCAAAGAAAGGACAGTCTTGCAAAAAATGTTCTTGGGTCTGTTGAGCACAAACACTGGCAGAGAGCTGTTTGTGATCGTACCTAATTTATATGAGTGTTTGTTGAGTTTGCAGTGTCCATGTGTAAGCGAAAAAACTGTGATTTGATTTGTTCTGTTGGGATGTTTGAGGACTTGTTTTTCATGGTTATAACCTGTGCTAGTTTTCCAACCTGATTTCAGAGGCTGAATTGAAAGAAGCCGTGAAAGCTCAAAAGGTTATCAAAACACCTGGGTGTGATTGGATTGCCCATAAATGCTGAAAGCGGAGGAAACAGAAATACCAAAACTGTGATGCGCGATTTTTCAAGAAATCTAGAAAAAAGAAGCAGTTCAAAGACAATAAACAAAAGGGGACAGATTGTACCATTATCAACGTATCAATCAAGCTGTTTATATGTCCTTTTTTCTTTTTAATTGCTTCTTTTACTTCTTCGCACCACCAAGGTGAATATTTGTTATTTCCCCGTCTGTTTCCACTCTTCCGTTTTCCACATAATTCTTCTGCAATACTAAGCATAATTATGTGGAAAACGGAAGAGTGGAAACAGACGGGGAAATAACAAATATTCACCTTGGTGGTGCGAAGAAGTAAAAGAAGCAATTAAAAAGAAAAAGGACTTATATAAACAGTGGATAAAATCAAAGAAAGAAGATTATATAAACTATAAACTGCAAAGGAGAGAAACCAACAGGAGTGTCAAGAAAGCAAAACAAGCATCCTGGGAACGTTTCGGTGAGTCATTAGCAGAAAATGAGAAAACAGCCAGCAGAAAATTTTTCAAAGTAGTTAAAAATATGCGGACAAGAGATGAGAGCTGCAACCCAACTGAAATAATTAATGATAAGACAGGAAGGCCATTGATAGATCCACCCGAGATGGCAGAAAGATGGAGGGAATACTTCAATGAGCTCTTTAATCCTCTAGGAGATCATCAGGAAAGAACAACTGAAGAGCACAGAACAACAGTGTTAGAACCACACATACTAATGGATGAAATAGAAAAAGTCATTAAGCAGTCTCCCAAATATAAAGCACCAGGAGCTCATAGATTACTAACAGAAATAATTCAAGCAGCAGGTGAAAGCAGCATCAGATGGCTTCACACAATATTTAATGCAGCATGGGTACAACAAACTGCCCCTATTGATTGGCAACATGCAATAGTTATACCATTGTGGAAGAACAAAAGAAGCAAACGAGAATGCGGTCAATACCGAGGCATCTCTCTTTTAAGCCATGTTGGCAAAATGTATGCCAAGATAATAGAAACAAGACTGAGACCAGTGATAGAACCACAGCTGGCAGAAGAACAGATGGGATTTAGGAGAAACAGAAGCTGCACAGATGCAATCTTCACACTTGATCAGTTAATAGAAAAGAACATTGAATACAATAAGAACTTATTTGTGGCATTCGTAGACCAGGAGAAGGCATTCGACAGAGTCGACAGACAATTATTATGGAAATTAATTGCAAGATATGGAGTACGCGAACACCTCATCGAAGTGTGCAAAAGTTTATACAGAGATTGTAGAAGTGTCATCATCATCAGGTGTCTTGCCGACTGGCGTGGGCGATCATGCCTCTCCATAATCCGCGATCTCCTGCAGCATGTATCAGTTCGTGTGCCGACACACCTCCATGCCATGCAACAAGACTGTCAAGCATCTTCTCTCGTTGTCTTCCTCTATCCCTCCTTCCACAGATCTTTTCAGTGGTCACAACATGTTCTATTTTCCCTCTTCTCATAACATGGCCGAAAAATGATG